ACATAATAATTTATAAGTATATACTAATACATAATTATATAAAATATAATAAATTTAAACTAAATTTTAGCATTTTTTATCAAAAAAAAAAGAAAAGAAAAAAATTGAAAAAATCCGGGCCGACCCGGTTGGGCCCGGACCCGGCCCGGGGTACCCGGGTCCAGGTCCGGGCTCCGGGTTTGCCCGGCCCGGGCCGGCCCGGATGGACAGGCCTAGGATGAAGTTTGGCATTTCCTTTAACTAGTGTACTGTCCGTGCAAAGCACGGCGATCATTTTTTTCCACGCTACAATAATCATGTTTTTAAATGCTGCAGCAAGCTTTTTTTGAATTACTACAGTATCCTGCGTTTTTTAAATTATTGTAGTATACCCGTGCTACGGTATTAATGATATAGTATTTTCAAAGAACGCTATACTTCACGCCTCTGTTACAATACTTTTTCTTTTAAAATGCTACAATATCCCATGTGCTATAATAATAATACCGTATTAAAATTTATTGTAGTATTTACTGTAGTATAAACAGTGAACTTTGATTTTCTCATTTGTATGGAGGAGTAGATATGCTATTAGAGGGAGGAATAACCTAAACCAATAGTCAAGATGGTACTTGTCACTTGACAAAGATTTTTTGATGATTGTTACCTCCACCTATCACTAAATATAGACAAAATATATGAATGTTTGCTTCGTATCCAAGACTTCCAAATATGTGACTTTAGAAACACTCCTTTCATTCTTCCACATCCACAACTACATATAAATTATTCAAAGAGATCCATCAAGCTGGAAATTGTAATTTTTTTTTTTAAAAAAAAGGTGCTTCATCCCCCAAAACTTCAAAAGTAATGTGAGGTGGGCCTACAACCCATCAAAGGTGTTGTTTATAATTAAATTTGGAGCTCTGCATTTATGCCAGCCGTATCCTGTCATTAAAAGAGAGGATCGAATCACATGCACTAGCCCGAGAAAAATGGGACTCTGGCTTGATCAAGCAATTAAAACTAAGATTTTACTTTCCATTTTCCTTTTTTCTAAAGTAAATGTTTAGAAATCAAAAAGTAAATGGAATGTAAAAGGTTAAGATAAAATAACTTTACACTCACCATACTCCCGTGTATTGCAATCATTCCTAATTTGCACTAAAAAAAATCACAACAACCAATTGGATAATCAATGGTTGTGGTCCCTCCGTACTACCTTTTAGATGGTGAAGAGGATCCGAATCCTTTCATAACTACTCTGTAGTTGATCGAACGCTAATAAAAATAGAAATTTGACCGTAACATTTGCTAACACAGTACTATATTTTCTGCCAACAGCCACCAAAGGTAGCTCCTTTGCTACATTTGAAGCTCTCAACAGGATACGTGTGAATTGAGAGAGTAGTAACATAGCATCTAACAACAATACAAACTCATTGATTACATCGTTACAAGATTCTTTACATTGGTGTCTTATGTTCACTAAAGTTATAATTAAATGACTCGTATGAAAATGTCATGCACACGAGTGGGCGGCACAAAGCTTCTGGTACTTTCATTCCGTAATAGCAAAGTAATAAAAAATTAAACAGAACATGAAGTAATTAAGTAGTTAGTTTAGATGGAGATTAGGATTATAATATGTTGTTTTGTATTTATGTTTGGGGCTAGAGTTCAACTAGTTCGGCTACACGTGCTTGCATTTTGTCGGCAGCAGCCGTGTTATCAAATCATTCCTAGATTACCAAGAAAAAGGGGATAATTAAAAAAAATGTCTGATGTCAACCAGCGAATGGTTTAAAGAATATTCTGATAGGATTTAGGATATTTTATTGGGATTTGGATCCTCTCCACTACAAAAAAGTAGTGGAGAGACCACTGCTTTTAATATCAATCGTTGATTATTTAGTAGACGATTATGATACAATCTAAATCTAACATTTACCATACCCCCGTGTATTGCACTCATTCCTAACTTGCACTAAAAGATAAAATCACAATCATTAACTAGATAATCAATGACCGTGATTATGTAGTGATCCCTTTGATTTTACAATTGTTGTATAATCCTCGGTCCTCATCATAATTTGGGAGTTTTAGTGTGATGTTTGGGTCATCTAATTTAAGATGCTATCGTAGCAATCCGGGCTTAAATCCTACCGTCTATGAATTTAAAACGAAATTTTAAAAAATTGATACAAGTGGGTCCAAGTTTTGACCAACAAGGACATTTTAGAATATAAACGCAATGGTTAGAGACTTTAAGATACTTTAACATAAACATTTATGAGTTTCTCCTTTCTCCTTGGGAAGAAAAAGGGTCTTATTTCCGGTTGGTCTTTCTCAAAATAGATCCCTCACAGATGTGATAAGTGATAATATATACAACTTAAGGAATAAAAAAAGAGATTAATGGGTGACAAGGAGATAATTTTCCTCCTTGACAATGATGTGACACAATTTCCACCATGTGAAGGAGAGAGAATAAAGTAGGAGAGGGAATTTCACATGGTTGGGATTGTATCATATCATTGTCAAGGATACACATTAATCTCTAAAAAAATATAGATTAGAGGGTTATTTTTGATTTACCATGGATTAAAACATACATTAATGAGTCTACGGACCGAGAAAAGTCTAGTGCACAGCCAGAGCAAGAGGCAGTTAGAGAATTATTTTCCTTCCATTAGACCCCCCCCCCCCTCCCCCCCCCCCGCCGCCCTTCGGGTGGAAAACAAGGGAAGGTACACACTAGAGAACAAAAGGACATTAAGCCGTACCACTTCAGTTTGCGTCCATTGCATATAATAAGTCCTCTAAACTTACTTACTCCATGATGATCTGCTGTTGAAATCTCACAATATTTCATCCTCATCCTAAGTGAGGAAGGTGATGCAAGAATGAGACAATCTAGGCTGTTTAAAACCATACCTACTGTTTTCTTGTCCATTTATTATTTGGAACAAATCAGACTTATGTAACAGTCAATTGCAAAGTTAAAAAA